GGCGGAAGACGTGCATACCACTTGGTCAACTGGCGAAAATCTAATACACCATATACCCCTTCTATGTCCTTTCAAAACACCTAACAGAGATAAATCTTCAGACCAAAGTTTAGCAGTCTTATCCTGGGAAGCTGTAGCAATGATTTTGTCATTAGGAGACACAGCAACACAGTTTATATCCATTTGATGAGCTAATTCTGTGTGTGTTGCATTTAATTTAACATCAATTGCATCTTGATTTTTGGGAACATCCCAGATTTTTAAACAATTATCTTGACTTACAGATACAAAAAATTTGTCTGATGTTTGAGCTGTAAATACAGATCCTACAGATGCAGTATGTCTGTACCCTACTCCTAAACATTGTATTTCATTATTAGATTGATTAATCCAAATTCTAACTGTATTATCTTTCCCTGATGATACAAACATGTCTGGTCTTGTTGGGAAATTTGCTAGAGACAGAACAATATCAGTGTGTCCTTTAACAATTTTACAATTCAAATTATCTAATTCATAATGCTTTAAGTCCCGGCTGTTAGTAGCAACAATAAAATGTGTTTCATCTTTTCCTATAAATATTATATCCAATATTTCATCAGTAAAACCTATCATTTGTTTGAGACAGTTGAAAGTCTCCAAATCATGTATAATAATATTATGATCCACTGTAACAACTGATACCATATTTCTTGCTTCATTAAATAGTAAATGAGTAATTGCTAATCCACCTTCCTCAGACGCAGGAGAAACAAGACTATTATTTTGTTCAAACATTAGACGGCTCATTTGCATATTCCATACCTTAACAACTCCCTTCTCACCAGCACATGCTACATATATGCCATCCATTTCTAACTTCTTCTTGAAGTTAGGGATTCTGAATGATGCTGGTAACAATAAAGCTGTCTCAATACTCTCATAAACAGGTATAACTTTCAATGCTTTACTTTCATTTATTTTCCAAAGTATAAGAACTCTATCTCTGCCAGAGCTGACCATATGTTGACCGTCAGGTGTAAAAAGTAGAGATGTCACTTTACTGAAATGTCCAGAGTATATTTGAAGTTCTTTACCAGATTTTGTATCCCAAGACCTTATCTTTGTATCATCAGCTGCACCAAATATCAATTGTTTTGATATATCTGGATGATACTTGACAATTGTGAAGACACCCATAGCTCCATGCAGACTACTGATACAAGTATAGTGATTTAGATCCCACAATCGGACATTACCGTCGGAACCTGCTGATGCAATATTAGTATCTGTGGAATCAAAGGCCAGACGAGCTACAGCTCCTTTGTGACCAGATCGCCAAACTTTTTTCTGTTGTCCTGTATTTTTGTCCCAAAGTTTCATTAAGCCACTTTTATGTGCAGTCACTACAACCTCATTGTTGTTAGACAGTTGGAATGTGTATATCTGGTCAGTTTCCTCTTTGTCTTCATTAACCTCGCCAATTGTTAAGACATTAGAAAGTGTGTTTATATCAATAACTTTTATTACATCTTCACATTGGCAAAGAAATTGGCCTCCGTCTGTTGTCCACTGAATATCTCCTCCAGTGTAAAAAGCAGTGTACTCATTAGTTTTTTCATATCTAAAACAAAATAATTATAATTTAAATACAAGTTTTACTTCCTAAGAAGAGAGTCAGCTATACTTCAATTATGTACTGTTGTCAGTAAGCAATAAAAACAATGCAAAGCTATATATTATAACGATAGTGAACTAATATAACGCGTTTCTAGATTTAAGACGAAACAAGGATTAATAAAAGACCGGTGATCGACACGAAAATGCAAAAGTGTACTTTAAATTAATTACAAACTTACAATTCCTTTAGTATGTGTGCCATTTTGTGGTAAATATAAAATTATCAAAAAGACTTTCTTCACAGCACTCTTTTTCCGTTTTAATGTGATATTTATTTTCTTTTCTCACGTGGGCAAAAATGTCATTTTTGAAATATGCCATAAACACACAAAATTATACGTTTCGTTCATCCGAAAGGGCAATCGCTGTGAGTCTTAAAACATTTTTTTAATTCTATTTTAGAAAATGTAACTATAAAGAAAGTTGTAAAACACGTTGTAGTAGGCTAATTCAAAAAATCGGTTATTTTACAAAAAATAAAAATATTGACTCACAGCATTACATGTTTTCAGGTATTTTTGCTTTTTCTTCTTGCCTATTTTCATAATTAAAAAGGTGTCTGTCACATATCTGTCATGTGTCAATGTCATCAAAATAATAACATAACCTCACATACTTCGATAAGAATTTAAGATGTTAAAAAGTAGAATTTTTAATTACATAACCAAAAACTTTTCTTCGCAAAAAGTTACAAATAATGTTTGCCATCAAAACTCTTTTGAGACGGTATATTCATTTCCGCAAATTAAATACATAGCAATTATAAACAGATTGAAAGTATATCACCTTTTGGGTTCAGGCGTAGCAATACCTAGTTGCGGCTTACTGGAATTGTGTGATATTTTGTCGAGCAATTCGTTTCTCACAGCATCATACATAGGTATACCGTTTATTTACTCATTGCAATTTTTTCTCGCCTTTTGTCTATTAGACTGCTATCACTTTATTCACAGTCACTGGAGGCGGTACTGTTAATTAAAAAATCTCCGAACGTCCATATATTTCTTAACTACATACTAGAAGTGTGTGGGATTTATATGTTAAACTGAGGTTCCTAAATGATTATATGATGATAAATGTATTCTATTTTTAGGTGTTACTGGAGCTGCAGTATTGTCACTGGCAAGTCTTCCATTTCGGAATTTGATAGGATTTCTATATATAAGTGAAGATAATAAATTAATAAAAATTTCTTCACTAGACTTCTGGGGGCAGCGAAAGGACAGAATAATCAATGCAGATGATTGGATACCATTATATGACATGCCACCAAAATTCACTGACCAACTATATCGCACACCAAAGCTATCTGATGGCACAAAATATAAACTTGTTATGAAATATGGTAAAATAATCAATGCCACAAAAGTAGGACAAGTTTTAGAGTAAAGTACAAACATTTATGCTAAGTAAGGGTTATTTATTAAGGGAATAGAAAGGACAAAAAAAACAAGCAATAATAATGCATCATGTCATTCTATTCCTTAAATATTACAATATTGTGAATTTTTAAATATAAGAAATTTAGATTAAATAGAATGGAAATCAATTGCATGTGTTTTATTTAGGTGTATTGCTGCCATATAAAATGGTTGCTTTAAAATTATTTTTTACTTAACAATTAATTATTATCCATCTGTATATACAATTTTATTACAAAATTACACCTATACATAAGACCGGAGGGGCCTTTTGTGTCCCTCAGTCTGCCAAATAAAATAATAAGCATTTCACATCCACAATAAAAATTTATTTTACAATTTTAACATTTCTAGTCAACAAGACCAGGCTCCCATCATTACTAAAACATATTTTCTCAATTACACAAATTTCACAAAAAATATGTCATTTAAAGTACGCTTATTAAAAGTAAAAATAAATAAAACCAGAAATATTAATTGCAACTTTAGTACACTTCATAAACTCTATTTATTCATGAGTTAAATTCTTTACTTGATTAGGATTGAAAACAATACAACTTCATTGTATGTAACATCAATAAAAATAAATTATATATAAAAAATGACAAATATAATAAATACAATACTAAATAAAACTGTAAATTGTATTCATGGGAACCCAACAACATTTACATAGAAAATTTAAAAGTTGTAATATACATAAGAAATAAATTATCTCATTAGTGCCACAAATTGCAGAAGAGATTACAAAAGAAATTTCCTACTTTTTCTAGCATATGCATTATATTGTCCCTTTCATACTGTTATAGTATAAAAGACACATAAAATTCAACCCTTTCTAAGATTTCACTAATTCAACTAAGGCAAGCCAATGTTGAATTTCTTGTTTTATGAAACCTAAATTTAAGTGCATCTAATTTAATGTGACCAGATGGATATAAATTATATTCCACAATACTGTTTGTATGGCAAAAGCTAAACAAGGGTCTCTAGTAGCCCGATGCTTTATAAATTCACTCGCTGATTATCAAAGTGGGTTCTATGTTTGGTTTTTATCTAGGACTAGGCTAGGTCTAGAATTTCTAGCCACGTCGGTACTATCCGAATGGATTAATCAACCCAAGCTTGCGCAGGCTGGTCCGTGGTGAATGGGCTGACTCCGTTCCTTTCCATCGCGTCGAGAATTTCGCACACGTACGCTGCAACGTCCGCGCGACTTTGCTCTATTCCTTTAATGAATGGATGCTCTAATAATCTGTTGTACTTAGGTCGTTGAGTTTCTTCTTTTATAAGGCTGGAAAATTAACAATAGGTAAGGTTTTTTTTACATCGTAAGTAAGCATATGAGTCTTAACCATGGGCGTCGCTTTGCTAGAGGGGGTAGCTAGAGAATCGAAAATGTGAAATGTATATGAAAAACAATTCAAAATAGACCAAATTAATAGTAGCTGTTGTCCCCCTAGACTTAGCTTAGGTCATAATTTGGCGACACTTATAACCTCAAACAATATTTATTAATAATCTTCCAATATATTCTGATAAATCAATATTAATTATTATTTTTTAAATAAACTGAAGCTACAGTAGATTACAAAAACTCAACCTAAGAAATTTCGGCTTGAAGGACCATCTAACTAAATAACCTTTACAACCACTTATACCGTTATAATATAATACAAAAAATTTTGCCACATTTTGTAGCCTAAGATATAAACTGCATATAAATGTCTTACCAAGTATTGACAAAGTGTACAAAGTTATTTGAGAACGAGTTGTTCTTATTGGTGAGACGCGGCGGATCTCCTTGCACTACTTGTTGTAACTGTTCAAAAACGGAGCCCCAGCGGGGGTATGGGAAGGCTCCCGTTGCCACTTCCATTAATGTTATTCCGAGAGACCAAACATCGGAGCGCACATCATATCCTCTAGCACGACCTGGGTCGATTCGTTCTGGCTAAAAAGATAAATATTCATTTAGTTTCTTATTAATGTTTTTTATTGTTGAAAACATATATGCCACTAACACATCAACTATATCTGGTTTGATCCTAGATAAATAGAACATATTAATATTTAATATGTTAAAATTATTGAAAATAACCAACCTGTGTAGATTAAAAAAATACTTAGTAACTTATATTTTATGCAAGGCTACAAATATACCAATTCCAATACCATTTCAGTGAGATTCATTAGAGATATGCAGTGACAAAGATCCATCCATCTAAACTTTTGCATTATTAATAAGATACCTATATAAAGTGTGTTATACTTACTGCCATGTACGGTCTACATCCAGCATCCCGAGTTCTCGCTATTGAGTCCACTAGTTTACCTGATATACCAAAATCACATAACTTTATGTTCCCCCTTCTGTCTAATAATATATTAGAAGGTTTTACATCCCTGAAAATAAATATTACAATTTACTCACAAATAAAAACATATTTTGACAAATACTAGATTAAATTTTGCTCTTTAATTGCTTACCGATGAATAATTTTTAACTTCTCCTTTAAATAATTTAAAGCTTTGACTGTTGCAAGTGTTATTTTAGCTAAAATAGTTTCAGGTATTCGAGTCTGCATTCTTTCACAGATGAACTTGTAAAATTTGTCTAGAGATGTGTCCATCAGCTCCATGCATATCCAACAATCACCCTGAAAAAATATTTTCCACTTTAAAAAATAATTAAAGAAGCAAAAATTTAAATGCTTAACCTGAAATTCACAAAAACTACAGGAGATATTTGCTTTTAGCAAGATACTTTACAAGTAAAAATGCACCTTAACAAATTTAAAAATTCTGACTGAACTTTAAACTTCAAAAATTTGCACTTTGTTTTAATTAGCACTTTTTGGAACAAATATTTATATACAAAAAATGTAAGCTGTACTTCTATACTTACTTCCTTAAATAATGCTCCATAAAATTGTACAATGTAGAGACATTCATTACTTTTCATGACCACTTCAAGGTCCATAAGCAATTGCTTTTGTTCCTTCTCATCTACTGTGGAGCGAATCCTCTTCACAGCCATCACTCTGTTAGTTCTATTATAACGAATAATGAACACATAACACATGAAACTAGATAAATTTGTAAAGTAGACATAAAATATAACATTAAGAAGGGTAAATACAAAATACAATTTACTATAACTAATTCTGTACACTTCATTAAGATAAACAATCAATAACTTACTTCCTGTGAACCATTTTATTAACAGCTCCAAATGCTCCTCTACCAATTTCACCAAGATCCTGTAAGTCATCTGCAGTAAAATCATATATTTCTGTGGCTGATAATTGCAATTTACCCGATGACTGCATAGTTGGATAAATTCTACATCTATCTCTGAAAATATTAGAAACAATCAATAAAACTTGGATAAGAAATGATCACAAGGCTTGGTCTTAGATATTCTTGTAAATGTCATGCTTTCCATAAATTATGTTTGCCTTTGTGTAACCTCCTAATTAACTTTTAATTAAATATTCAGTTTTCGATTTAAATATGTTAAGATATAATCGTAAATGTTAATGTTTCTTGAAACAAACACAAACTGTTTAGGTTTGTAATTTACCTGGTATTGTCTGGTAAAACATCTCTGATAGTACGCGCTGGCACTCTCGCCTTTGGCCCCGGTGTATTCGTAGGGAAGGGCATAAATGCCGCCCCATCACCTGATGGACCACCAAGCTGTAAATCTAACATTTTGCGTTTTTCTGAACTGAACAAATTTAAATCAGGTTTTGGCATGTTTGGTCTACTCGGCCCTGTAAAAGAAGGATTTATAAGCATTTACATGAATTTGTAATTTACTTACATAATAAGAATTAATTGATAAAACGGATTCAATGTTTTGATCGAGATTTACCTTGACTTGACGATACTTCGCCATTCTTCGACATTTTAATAAACACTGCAAAACAACAATCAATTATGTTCAAGGTTCCCTGTTTCAAGTGTTTACTCCAAAATCCGCCATTTGAAGTTAAATTACAATGTTTAGTTTAATTCAATAACACATTTTAAGATGTTTTGACTAAATAATGCATCGTAGGTGCCTTAAAATTCGACAACAGAAACAGACTATAGACAAGACACACGGCAAAATTTGACATTTTTTAACAGAGTATCCAGCGTCTATGACAGTTTTGATTGAAAGTGTTGCCACTATTCTAACGAAACGATTACAGACTAAAATCTGATTTGGGAACGTTATTCAAGTTTTCTTTTTCCTCAAATTGTTGATACAACTTATAATGGACCCTAGATATGAAAATACTGTTAAAGGTTTTTTTTCACACAGTATCGTTACACTATTTTCCTCGAAATGATTCGAAACATGCACAAAAGTCTCATTCTACTCGTCGAGGATACCGTTGTATAAGGTAGTTGATTTATATTTAAAGGACCAGGCCAATAATAAATAAACAGAAAGTGTTTACAATAAGCGCACAACAAAAGTGATTTCATAAGATTTTTTTTTATAAATTCTATAGGAATATAATACACATGGTATACAATTGTTTTGGTTTCCATAATGTTATGTTCTTTTCTGTTTTTTGGACCCTTTTGTACTTGTTTCAATTTGTCTTACTGTATCTTCATGTTTACTGTGTCGTTTAGTTTTGCTCTTTTCTGTAGCAACACTTTTGACATCATCATGTTGACCATTAGTAATTTCTTGGTTACTTTCATCTACAGACACATTTTTGTTTCTGCTATCTTTTCTTTTGAGAGACTTTGTTTTTGTTTGTTGAATCATTTGCTCACATCCATCTCCTATGGATCTTTCTGCTACATTAGGCTTAGTTTTGTTAAAATCCACATATGAAACATCAATGACTTTAGATTTTGATGGTTTTGAATCCATTATTTCTTCATCATACTCATTTTCTATCCACCTGAAATTATAATAATTATTGTATTTATTACTTAACACACAATTTATTTATTTATCTGTTTAATTAGCAATAGCAGCAGAAATTAAAGGCTATTAATGTAAAAACTAATAAGATCATGAAGAAAACTGATTTCACTCTATTTCAAAATGTTACATTTTTACCTTTCATCAAGTTCTCCTCTAATATATGGCAATGCTCCATAAAGATCCAAGACTACAATTCGAAATACAACTTCTTGACCTTCATCAATATTTGTGCCAATCCATTTATTACCTGGTTCTTCTGTGGGTCTTGGTATGACAACATTGAAAACTCTGAAATACAAGTAAAATAAGCTGTTTATTCAAATGATAAATAATAGGTATCTGGACAACAGAACTGTTCTCTCATACTTGTCAGTCTTACGGAAAAGAAATGTAATGCAATATATAAAAAATGAAAATACAACAACTTGATGAGATTCTAGGCAAACAGGGAATGGGCTGAAAGTAATCCTACCTGTGAACCAAAATTCCTAAGTGAGTAACACTCTTTTTGTTAACAATGCCTTTCAAAGTGGCACCTACACGGGGTTGAAATACAAAGTAATCAGCTTGTACTTGAAAATAAATATCTCCATTGTCATTTCGAATTGTACCAACATTTTGAAGAACGCGTAAATTTTTGTAACTCATAATTATTCCTTGAAATCTGTAACAAATTAATGGATAAGTATGTAAGATTTGAGATTTAAGAAGAAGAAGAAATAACTGTAAGTTTCGGGTATCTCAAGTTGCAAATTAATATAGTCAGTTAACTTTATTGCAAAAACTATACTCACTCCTTATCATATTTTCCAATTTTGTAATCTAATAATTTTTTTATAGACTCTTTTAGGTTTCCTAAACACCAAGGTTGTAAAGCTAAATTTTGAGTCACTTTTCTTTCAACAACACAAGAATTTTTGTCATTGGCTAGTTTCCTCAATTCTTTTAATTCAAATTTTATAATAGCAGACATTTTTTAATCATTAATTTAACTAAATAATGTTACAAAACAACAAAATATTACAAAAATATTCGCATCATATCATGTCACTTATGTCAAAGCGTCTTACGTCTATTATTGTCAAAAATTTGTTTCGAAAAAAGTAATTGAGGTCAGTGTTTTCACGATACGTGTAGTCTTTTCATTTTAATCATAACTTTTAAATATGAATACATTAAAAATGGATAAATGCAAATGTACAAAAGATCGAATTTAAACATTTAAGAAATGGTTGTAGAGTGAATTATAAAATATTAGTCGTGGAACGGGTCAAACCGCTTGTGACACAATTGTCAATGTCAAATGAAATGAAAATTTATAAATGATCGTTTATCGTTTCATTCATATTTATTGAAAATTGTAATTCAAAGAGATTATTCTCAATTAAAGGTTTCATTAAATCTTGAAGTTGTAACTATCAATAATTGGACAATGAGGAATCTTACCAACAAATTAATTTTATTTAATAGATGTCAATCACAGCTAAGCCGATGTGCGTTCAATAGGTAAATCAAAAATAAACATAACCTTACAAATGTCCTTTGTTACAAATTACTATTTTGTATGTATGTTTCCAGTACCGTGAAAACAACGCAAAATAGGTTTTATTCTCGACCAACAAGTTTCCCAGATTATTATCAAAATCCAATATTTAGAAAGGAAGACCAGGCAAAACTGATTGAAAACAATGAACTATCTAAATTGGCTACGACTCCGTTTAAGCCTCCGACTTCGTATGAGACATCATCTGTGTATCATGACCCAATTGTAAAGTAAGAATATTCATGTATTGTTTTTTTTTGTGTAACCGAGATTTTACTGCCATTACATTTATTTATACATTTAAAAATAAATATTGTAGTTCTCTGTCTTGCCAGTAGAATTTGGCTTTAATATTAAATTTTGTTATAATAAAATGTCAGTCAAAAATACTCAAAACCCACATGTGACATTAAACTGTAATGAATTTTATCCTACTTTTAAACAACTGTTGTAGCTTGTTTTTATATTTTTTTGTCTCATTATAGCAAAAAGCGTTTTATTTATATTATATTCGTTTTTTTAGCAAAGTTATAAATCATGTAATGGAAGATGGTAAGAAACAATTGGCTCGGAGTTTAGTTGAGAAGGCATTTGAGAACATAAAGAGAATACAAATTGAACGGTATCACCTAGCAAAAACACCGGAAGGGAAGTCCAAGATAATATTAGGTCCAAAAGATGTATTGCATAAGGCAATTGATAACTGTAAGCCCCTATTACAACTTACACCTATTAAACGAGGAGGTATAACTTATCAGGTATGTAAAAACATCTAAAACTAGCTATTGCTATCTAAAGCTATTGGTGCTTAGTTTATATTTCTATTTTAGGTACCAGGACCTATAACAGAGAAAAGATCATTATTTTTAGCTATAAAATGGCTATTGGAAGCAGCGAATGATAAAGACAGGACGGTCCACTTCCCAGAACAGTTTGCTTGGGAGCTGTTAGATGCTGCAAATAATACTGGCAAAGTGGTGAAGAAAAAACAAGATCTTCATAGACAATGTGAGGCAAACAGAGCATATGCTCATTATAGATGGCAGTAGCTGATATATTACCAGTTATAAAAATCATAAATTAAGAAATTGTGAGCATTTATTGTAGAAAATGTACACTTAATAGTATATTTAAGTTTTAAAATAAATAAATTAAAGAACCAAATGTGTTTTTTTGTCTCCTTATTTTTTTGCCAAATTTCTATGAGAAATTTTTAATTGACTAATTCAGTATTTTATAGATTTTATGTAATAATTTTAGTTTGGTAAACCAATTATACAATGAGGATGTTTTTCGCCGTGTTTGTTTTAAATATGTAATCTCAAAGATAAGATTATTGTAATTAATTGATTTTAGATATGTAATGACTGACAGACTAAAGTAATTTACCCTAAAAGTACAATATAATCTTTGTTTTAATAATAAAAAGAAGAAGAACCACATACTTTAAAATTGGATTTGTATTTATTTTTCCGACCGATCATCGTGACGGTCGTTGTAGGGGACCTATGCCCAGCAGTGGGCGTCATATGGCTGACTAGTAGTAGTAGTAGTATTGGTTTTTTAAATATGTGAACTTCATGTTCCTGTTAAGATTCGTTCGTTAGTTCAAAATAGATTAATTGGTTTAGTTATTTTAATCGAGAATTTAAAGGCGGTTAAATTTTTAAATGTTATACGAGTATGTGAAATGCGGGTAGTTTCTACAGCGCTGAGTATAAGGTTTCCTTTCCAACTGCTTTGTTTTTTTTTATTATTAAAATTGTACTGGCATATACCTCTTCTGTCTATAAGGCGAAAAAGGAGATAAAAAGGGATAAATCACTTTATATTCGACTATTTTTACGATAATCAATGTTTAAGGAAAGGCTACGCTACGCCAACTATAATGTACACAATTCAACGGTAAGGTTTCAAGTGCTAATTTGCTCTCTTTTTTTTATCTAGATTCTGGATGTTTTGAATTCCCAGTATTAATGCCGTATTTAATTTTAATTCTTTCTTGTTTGTCACGTATAAAAGTAATATATTTTATTTCTAATGTTACTAGCCATGTCTAATACCTCCGTTTATTTTACGATCTCAAGTCGTAAAACTTACGACTCTTCAAACCTCTATGTGGCTGGTGATCCGCTTCGAATTAATCTTGTTTACTTTGCAAAAGTAAAATGATGAAGGCTGTGATGGCCATGAAAAGCCAAGAAAGTAGCTGTCCAGAATGAGATATGTTTTGACTCTTCGTCGCTTCATAAAAACAGTATTGTTATAGTACAGGGCCTACAGATACCATGTAATAAATTATAGAAACTGATAATTTAATCAGTATACTTTTACAAACGAAAACAGTTGTAAATATCAGATGTAAGATGATTTAGATCAAGGGCGCATCATAGAGATAAATGTGTGAAATCTGAAACACAGGCAAATAAAGATAACAATGACATAATAATATGCGGATACGTTATATGTAAATGATAGATCTTAGACACAACATGAAGTCGTGTGAGACTGTCGTCGATGCGAATCCGTCCTTACATTCTTTATCTAATCTTATTAGAAATAATCAATATCCTGAATGTGGTTGTTTTAAATTGTCGGTAATTGATTTTGTTTTCTTACGGCCCTTTTGCGCCGAACAGGTGGTGTTTTAATTTTTTTTAATTCACGTGTCTCAAGCGAATTAAAATAAGATTAGTGTTTTGTTCAGCTAATAGTGGTTGTTGTGGATATTCGGTGAGTATTATTAAAAAAAAGTGGATTAAAAAAATAAATATTACAAACAATTTCCGTTGGGCATTCCGTTGGATTTATTTAAAATACATTATCTGGCAAAATAAATTAAAACACCCTTATTATTGTATTTTGCTACATATTACCGTTACGAGATACAAGTTATCGTTAATTTATAAATAAATAAATTGTTCAGTGATTTTACCCTGGTGTTAGGTTAACTTGTTTGAGAGTAGCATTGGTCCTGTTTACTGGATTGCATACAGAATGAACACATGCGTTCTTATGTTGGGGCAAATGTGTATTCATTACAGGAATATTTTATTCATATTTTTAGATAGATAGCGAGTGATAATATATGAAAATGTTTCTAATCGTATACGTAAACAAATTATGATCATGAAATACTATCAGAAGACATCGAATATGTTTTTTGCGATAGGTTTTAGTTTTTTTAATATAAAAGTAAATTTTTTTTGCTTTATAATTATCTCTATATTATCTAAAACACCCGATCTAGGTACATACTGCATTACTGGCAACAAAATTTCATTCCTTAATTATAATAACATAGGGTATGCTCCAACCTCTCGATAGGGACGTCCAGTCAAGTGAGCTGACAATGATGATCAATTTAAATAAAGTATTTAAAAATAAGAAAATTACGGTTGTAAAGAAAAACATAAACAAACTCTGATTTTCAGTTCTAAAATGAACTGTCGTTCATGCATAGCCCAAATGTTTCAGGTATCTGTAAATCAATATACTAAAAGGAATGGTCATTAAGCGATAACAAACGTTTTAGTTATGTAAAAAAAATAGCCATTTACCAAAATGCCCATTTTCAAACATAGACTAACGACCATTGTTTCCGGTTTGTCAACGATAAGGATTACAAACTTGTTGATTTTAATTTACAGCTGTTTCAGCTTAAAATTGTTTAAATCCATGTAACACAATTTCATTCCATCATTTTTTAAGAATTGTTTCTACCCAATAATTCACGAAAACTGATTTCTTAGCGTAGGTTTCCACTGCTGAAAATGCTTTACAAATCATATGTCAAATAATTATCATCCCACTGATTACCTTTTATCAGAAACCCATGATACGACTAGGACTTTTTCGTTCAGCCTTATTACATTTCCTTATAAAAATAAAGTCCTAGAATATCTTTAATTACGTATCAAAACATAGAAAACGTTTTACGATTAACACGTTCAAAGCGTAGGTATCTACGATCGTTATCAATTGAATATAATTTTATATCGTAAAAGGAGTTTGAATTTTATATGATTTACATTTTTTATGTATACAGTAATGACTGGTCGTGATATAGTTTTATATTTGACTGCGACAATTGCGATATTAGGTATCTACACCTTAACAATGATAAGGACATCCAGTAACGTTTGACGCACGCTCGTGGCCGTAGATTCGCTGTAGCGCTCGTGTTATTGTGCAATTGTGACAATACGACAGGTAACTTGTATTCAACAAAAGTTACATAAAGAATACAAAATATCCACGTTCATGCTCGTTTGTGGTAAACAAGTCGGTAATGTAAACAACACAACATATATGTGATGAAACAATAAAAATTTTACATGTAACGTGTCGCCTTGGCATTGCACGTATTTTACAAACATATTTCGAATATACTCAAAAAGGAAACAAATCTTCACTATATATTAATACGTAACAAATAAAATTAATAAGCCTATGTGTTCTTTCAGACTATTCTCTACATCTGTGCCAAATTTCATCGAGATCCGTTCAGAAGTTTAGGCTACAAACTCTAACAAACATCCATCCTTCCATCTAAACTTTCGTCTTCATAACATTAGTAAAATTTTCTATATGGATGAAGGGTAAGGTCTCTTAACCCTTCATTCCTCAAAGGTGGGCATCAGCATGTCGTGTAGCTTGTTGCAAATGTTTTTGGACACCAGTGTTTTCAGCGAGAGTACTTGTTCTTAGTAATTAAAAACAAACGTTCTACCTATATGATTGAGCATAAAAAACATTGGTGTTGGTATAATACAAAGAACCAGTGGTATTTTCGTTCGGATAATTTATGTTCGAGTTTAGCATCATGAGTTCTTTGTTTATTTTACGAACCTCCCTATAGATAAATGAAGAAGAACATTATACAATTTGTATGACTCAAAATGTTTATTGCAATTGATTATTATTATCAGGACTAATACCTCTGAAACATTATGATTCATACATTCCTATCTCTGTTTATCAATAGTTCGTCCACTTACTAAAATTCTGCGGAACTTTGCCCAATTGATATCTACTCTATCAAACTTTTACAAAGTACAAAAGTCAACTAAAATTAAAAGATAAAACTAGTTCCTAAAACCTAAAACCACGTGACAAATTATTCATAAGGGTGGGTTTCCTAAGGGTGACTATATAGGCCTTGGTTCCATTTACGATATTATCTAATATGTGTTACAAGAGACAAACGATTTTATTATTTATGTTTCGTTCTCCCAATGGTAAATCTCAAAATGCAACACTGGCGTGGCGCGTGGCCCCCGGCTTGCGTGACCAACGCGTGCTGCTCAATCTTTCCTTTTTGGACTATTTCTTATTAGCTTTTCTTCTTTTGACATGTACATATTTTGACGTCTTGTATTTTACTTAAACAAAAAATATATTATTTATCCTAAGAGTACATCAAAATTTTCAAAGTATTTATAAATACAGTTTTACAAATTATCTAGTGATCCGACTCGAAGGACCTACTATTTGAATAAAAAATTGAATTAAATTTGCCTCGAACAAACGATCCAGTGATATCATTGCAAAGTCAGAAGGTATGAGCAAAGGGGGCAGTCGTTCACTTCCTCACGTTTGAAAGTGCCTCGTACCTTATGTATATTTTGGTCTATATGGTTTCACATATAATGATGTTCCGAACATTCTGATCCGATAGTGAAATTATAAAGATAACATATAAAATAAGTGGGGAGGGATATTTTTCATTATTTACCCTACAATTATAGATCGGGGCAAATTTACAGTGAATATCATTTTATTTCGTTAGGTTTTTATGGACGTTTACCTTTCAGACCATATGTTAGGATGAAAGCAAGTCTGGCGATGCAGGCGAGCGCCTGGACGAAGTTTAAGCTGCTCATGTGGAAGAACTTCATGCACCAATGGCGACACAAGAAACAGACCCTCATAGAGTTAGTTTTGCCGGTCGCCACGATGGCGCTGGTGTTGATACTACGCCAACAGATAGAACCAGTGGTACAAGACACCAAAATATATCCGCCGATTAGAGCGCATACGCTTAATTATTCTTTACCAGTATTGTAAGTATTGTTTTCGTTTGTCTTCTAGTCAAGCAAATCATTTCAGTAGTTATTTTGTTCCATGCAACTGTTTGTTTTAGGATCGGAATGAACATTACCCAGTTATCATTCGCGTATTCACCGGAGAACCCCATGTTAGACGATGTTGTAAGGAGCGCTGTGGTCAATTTGTTAATATTAAACATAAGAGATTTATTACCGACTCTTTTCCCGGACCTTGCCGACGTCGAGTTACGGCCAAAAAACTTAAACAGGACAGTTATTTTTGAATTGCTCAAGATATTTGTAAAAGTCAAAGCTTACAATAGTAGTGCAGAATTAGAAGGAATTTATGGACAAGAGGAGGAAACGCAAAAAGTATTAGCTGCGATAGAGTTTGATGACAATCTGAAAGGTTTGTTGCTTTATTTTTTAAATTTAATATTGTACCTAATCCTAAAAGTGTAAATTCTCGATTGTCTTCAACAGCTAGTTTAAAACAAAATTGTTATTTTAGATGCAACTGAATTGCCAATAAATATATCGTACGCGTTACGATTTCCCGAAAGGCCTCGACTGAATTCATTCTACCTACAAGGAGGTCGTACATGGCGGACAGATGCCATTTTCCCGGTCTTTGAATTACCGGGACCAAGATTTCCTTATTCTTGGGAAGGAGGCAATGATCCTGGTAAGTTTACTTTCACCACTGAAACGGTATAGATCTAAAGAATAACATTTCGGACAGGGAAATCAGGGTTAGAGTTATTTAAAGTCTAAAAACAGACAGACAAACAGACCTACTTGAAAGCCTCAAGTTTAGATTGGAATTCATGATTCCAGATATAATCTTTTAATCAGGTCTTGACAAAAATGTTTCGATACTAAGAAAATATATTTTTGGATAACCGATATTTTTGATATTTTCAGGATACGTAAATGAAATTTTCATAGCACTGCAACATGCTGTATCGATGGAACTCATTTCAAGAATGACCGGGAATAATCTACGTCGGTTCACAGTAAATTTACAAAGATACCCACATCCGCCATACGTCGAGGATCTAGTTATAGAAGCTATGCAATTATTATTTCCAATGTTCGTTATACTAAGCTTCAGCTACACAGCTGTGAACCTTGTCAGAGCGGTTACGGTGGAAAAAGAACTACAGTTAAAAGTTAGTATGATTCTATTATTACTAATATTGAGAGCTTAGGGAGCCGCGTAGTCAAAGTTCAGTAAGAAACGACTGCCTGAATCCTTTAAGTGACCCCTTGAAAGTAGCTATTACTTTATTAGTTTTAACTGTTTAGTTTGGATTGGAGAAGTAATTCTTCATATTGAAATGTTTTAGTATGTTTTAGGAATCGATGAAAATAATGGGTTTGCCAACTTGGTTACATTGGACGGCGTGGTTTTGCAAACAATTTCTTTATTTATTATTTTCTACGGTACTCATAGTCGTGCTATTAAAGGTGAGATATTTATTATTAAGTATTAACTATACGGTTAATTAGTGTATTACAGTAAATGTATTATTACTTGTAGGTAAATTGGTTTACAAATGAGCAAGGATTCAATGATTACGCCGTGTTTACCCATACTCCTTGGACTGTTTTGTTCTTCTTCATAACCTTATATTTAAGTTGCATGATATTTTTCTGCTTCATGATTAGTGGCATGTTTTCTAGAGGTTCGTATTATTTATGTTTCTGGTTATCACATTTATTTATTTCTAAGAAGTAATTACGTGATTCTCTTCTATAGGAAGCTCGGCGGCTTTGTTTGCTGGTGTACTTTGGTTCCTGAGCTACGTTCCTGCTGTTCTCCTAAGTCTAGATTTTGAAGTGTCAACAGCAGTTCAAGTGTTAACATGCTTTAGTATTAACACAGCCATGTCTTACGGATTTCAATTGATGTTGGCGAAAGAAAGTACTGGCGGTAGGTTTATTTTTCCACTTTAATCTGTATCAAAGTAAAGGCAGTTTGTGTTAGTTCATACTCGTCTACATCTACAGAAAGTTATGAAGCAACTAAAGATGATTTGAAGAACAAAGAAAGATGAGGATTGATGTACTTGTCTCTTTCATCTTTTTTATAATATTACACACGTTACTTGATTTCAAAGCTTTGAAATATCTTCTTCAGGCATCCAATGGGGTCAATTCATGGCTTCAAACGCGGTGGATTCTTCGCGCTTCGTGTTCGGGCACGTTGTTATCATGTTGCTGGTCGACTGCTTGCTCTACATGTTGATTGCTCTGTACCTTGAGAAAATATTACCCGGCCAGTACGGCGTCGCGCAGCCGTGGTACTTCCCCTTCATGCGGGACTTCTGGTGCCCCCAGCGGAAGTTAGTACCTGGTAAGTGTTGCTATTTGTTTAAATTACCTTAGAATTTTAGTAGTTAAATAAAATGGAGTCATACATGTTCAGGATAATTATTATATTTATGTTAAGGTTTCTTTTTGCAAGCTTTATTTATTTAAGATAATAATGGCAAATGTTTTTTTACAGAACTAGAATTTGGTATGTTATACTATATTTTTATTTAACTAATATCTATTATTACTAACAAATGATTTTGTTAATAAGGGTGTTCCCAATTATTAAAACCTAAACATTGACAAAATTGATTAACTTTCAGACGATCATATCGATGAAGATAGTACTATAATAAAAGAAAAAGATCCGCTTGGTCACGAAATCGGAGTGAAAATAACTGTAAGTGATAAATTAAAATTAATTAATTTAAATTCATACTTTGCAATATATTATGCAAATGCATTTCATTGGTTCTAAAAATTTTATCCAATTATAAGAGCTTTGTAGGATAATGTAATAAAGAATTGATGTATTAACTTATTTATTTATTTTGCAGAATTTAACAAAGGTGTACGGCAACAATATAGCAGTAAATAACTTAAATTTGAACATATACCAAGACCAGATTACAGTACTGTTAGGGCATAATGGCGCGGGGAAATCCACCACAATATCTATGATGACCGGTACGTAAATATAGTGGTAAATACAAAAATAGGCTTCTGACAATGATTTATAATGTTTAAATCAATATATCAGTGATTATAATTATTGATTAATAGTTATCTCTCGATATCGACACAACAAATAATACGATATGTATGTACGTCAATAAAAACTAGTAAATTTTTAAATAGATAAATAAAATTAAATGATTATATCACATTCTAATCTTTAGTTTTGTCTGAAGTGTTCATCGCCTTAAGCGGAAATTCGTTAGTTAACTGATGTAGATTTAAAAGTGCAAATTAAAATCTATTTAAGATATTCGGCGACGCTAAATTCAACTTTTAATTTAAAATTTGATGAGTGAAGGAAAGAATAATTCATGCTACCTGTACTTTAATGAGAAAAATTTTTCATCTAAAATTTGCCACAATTCTGCATTACATAAGTAAATTTAAATAATCGAAATAAACTGATTTACTTCAAATTACTAAATCAATGTTAACCTTCGTAGGTAACGTAGAGGTGACGCGCGGTACAGTATGGGTGGCGGGTTACGATGTACGCAAGCACTTGAATGAAGCCCGCGCTAACCTCGGCTTGTGTCCGCAACACAACGTGCTGTTCAACGAGCTCACCGTCAAAGAACACCTACAGTTCTACGCCCGTCTTAAAGGATACACGGGGCAACAGGTCCATGACGAAGTGGAAATGCTTATAAGCAATTTGGAAATGCAAGATAAAGTAATTTTTTATTATTTACGTAACAAGATTTACAAATAAAATATGATATACGTAACAAGACATTCCAATCAACAACAACTACTAGGCACGTAGTGTGCTTACTCGTCGTCGTGGTCGCACATATCAACATGTGTTTGTTTCGTAGTGTAACTACCAGGCGGGCGGGTTGTCGGGCGGTCAGAAGCGGCGGCTGTGCGTGGGTATCGCACTTAGCGGCGGCGCCAGCGTGGTGCTACTCGACGAGCCCACCTCCGGTATGGATCCCGCTTCGCGTCGAGCGCTATGGGATTTATTGCAGAAAATGAAGAAAGGTATAGTAAGCTGTAAACATAGGACTTAATGATGATATTGTTCTGTCGATGTACATAGCTAGAAAATTAAGGATTTTAATAAGTCTTATGGTAGAAGATCAATCATGTAATAGTGGATGGTTTAAAGCGTGTTAAATGTAATAGGAATTTACTTAATCTCGACTATGTGTCTTATATGTATATGTAACTTTGTTTTTAAAATAAATTAAGACCGTTGTGATTTTTAATTTTATCCGTAGGTCGTTCAATGATTCTGACGACGCATTTCATGGACGAGGCTGACATCCTGGGCGACCGCGTGGCGATCATGTCGAGCGGCCGGCTGCAGTGCGTCGGCTCCCCGTACTTCCTCAAGCAGCACTACGGCGTCGGGTATACGCTGGTCGTCGTCAAAAAAGACGATTTCTCACCAGAAATGTGCACGGATATTATCAACAAATATATACCGAATACGTCGATAAAAGAAGACCGTGGTAAGGAGACTTCTAGTTTATATTTCTTGCAAAGATACCATCATAGTAGAAATTTTGTTGAATATGGCATAAAGATTTTTGAAGCAGAAGTCTGAAGTTTTCCTTGTTTCCAGGTACGGAAGTAACATACGCTTTAACAAATAATTACTCGTATTTATTCGAGGATATGCTGAACGACCTAGAGAGCAACATTGAGAAAATACAGTTCAAGAATTACGGATTGGTTGCTACCACATTGGAAGATGTCTTCATGTCGTAAGTTTAATTTTATTTTTCACAATGGGCATCCACTGCATGATCTTCTGTGCAAAAACAAGTTGTAGTCTCTATTTGTTGATTGATGTTTGATAGGGACACGCTCAACTCCTAATATCATCAAACAAATGAGAAAAGGACCTTGTTAATTACTGTTTTAGTGTGGGGTCTGACGTAGAGCTTCAATCAGATATGGACGACACTGCGACCGTGTGCACCTCGACTAGTGGCATTGAAGATATTCTGAGGTACGAGTGGGGGACGGCTTCTACGGACCAATGTAAGTATACCATATTACATTAAATCCAAAGTGTATCATTCGTACACCGTTTGCCACATTCTAGAATAAATAGGTAATTAGCAAAAAAAGTTCAGTATAGATACTGACTAGTTATAGATAGATATTCCGTTTGTCAAAGTTTAGATTATGAATGGATGTTTGTCAGAGTTTGTGGCATGATTTGCTGAACGGTCTCGATGAAATTCGACAAAAATGCAGAGGATAATCTAGAGCTATTTTACTTACTTTTTTTTAATTCCACAAGGACGGAGTCGCAGGCGAAAACAAGTTTTGTTATATTTATGAAAAAAATGTTCCTAATAGCAATATCTTATCTTTTGTACAGTGGATAAACAAGAGGAGAACTTGAGCGGTCACCGGCTGACGTGGCTGCACGTGGTGGGTGTGTGGCAGAAGCTGTGGTG